TTTCCTTCTGATCTAATGTCTCGCATTAAAAAGGGCTACTCTAAAGATCCAGTTTTTCGTGATCCTCCTCGTGATCTTCATATGACCATGCTTAATGGGTTTTGGATTTTTCAACAACGTCTGTTTGTTCCAGAATCAGTGCGACTGGACGTTTTACGCCTCTACCATGACTCTAAACCAGCAGGTCATCCAGGAATCCGAAAGACACAAGAACTACTTACCCGATCCTTTTGGTGGCCTAAATATTATGAGGATGTTAAGAAGTATGTGTCCTCTTGTGATGTATGTGCCAGACATAAGACTCCTCGCTCATCCCCTGTTGGCTTGCTTCAGCCTCTTCCGATTCCTCATCGTCCCTGGGGATCTATATCCATGGACTTTATTGTGGAACTACCTCCCTCTAAGGAACACACTACTATTCTTGTTGTTGTGGACCGGTTAACCAAGATGAGTCATTTCATACCAGCTCGTGGTCTCCCTTCAGCTAAACAGACTGCTGACCTTGTTATTCGGGAAATATTTCGCTTGCATGGAGTGCCTGATGAAGTAATTTCTGACAGGGGAGTGCAGTTTACATCTCATTTTTGGAAATATTTTTGTTCTATTCTAGGTATTAATGTAAATCTGTCTTCAGCTTTTCATCCACAAAGTAATGGACAGACTGAGCGAACCAACCAGACTTTAGAACAATATTTGCGGTGCTATATTAGTTACCTGCAGGATGACTGGCTGGATTTTCTACCCACGGCGGAGTTTGCCTATAACAATGCCCAACACTGCTCCACTTCTCTGAGCCCATTTTTTGCCAATTATGGTTACCATCCAACCTTTCTAGTGAGTCTCCCAATTACTACTCCCATTCCTGCAGTCACTGACCGGCTAACCGCCTTACGAGATTCCCAAGAACTGTTGAAGGAGACTCTTTCGGAGGCTCAGGAATGTTACAAAAGAGCTGCTGATAGGCACAGAAAGGAGGCCCCAGTTTATCATGTTGGTGACAAGGTTTGGCTGTCAACAAAGAATCTTAAGCTTAGGATTCCTTCTCATAAATTGGGTCAAAAGTTCATGGGACCTTTTAAGATAATCGCTCAGATCAATGCAGTCACCTTCCGTCTGCAACTTCCGGATTCCATGAAAATACATCCGGTGTTTCACGTGGCACTGCTTAAACCTTTTCATGAAAATACTTTCCCTGGTCGAGCCTTGCCTGCCCCACCACCAGTCCTCGTGGATGGTGAAGATGAATACGAGGTGGAAAAAATTCTTGACTCCAGGATCTTCCGCAACAAGCTTCAATACTTGGTTCATTGGAAAGGCTATGGTGAGGAGGATAGATCGTGGGAACCAGTGGACAATATTCATGCTCCTGATCTTCTTCAGTCTTTCCATGCACAGTACCCTGCTAAACCAGGAAATAGGGCATCCAGAGGCTGCGCCTGTAGAGGTGGAGGTAATGTGAGGAACTGACTCTGCTGGGTTTCGAACCCTCATTTACATGGTGCTAAACCTCTTCCTTACCAGTACACCAGCCTGCCTTTTGCAAATTTACCTGAGATCTGATACCATTGCTTGTAGAGTCAAGGTTATCAGTGACAACTCACTTCAGCTGTGTCTAGTCAGGTGTCTGGTTCTTGGCCTATAAAAGCCACTTCCTGTCTCTGTACCTTTGCCAGATTATTGTGGTTCCTGTACTCTCTAATCCAGCGTGTTCCTGTTTCTCCTTCCTGTTGCTGAATTTGGACTGTTTTGACTTTGCTGCTTCTCCTTCCCACTGACCTCGGCTTGCCTGACTACGATTATCATCTTTCTGTTCCAGTCTCCCATCTCTGCTTAAGACCAGAAGGCCACTCAAGGCTCAGGGGCTCAACCACCTGGGTAACGAGTGGCTACCTCTGGCAGAAAGCATTGCTGATCTGGCTACTGGACTCCAAAACTTTGTAACATCAATATCATTACACCTACACACAGTGCTCCCACTGCACCCCTATACACACACTGGCCCACATGCACTGCCTCCCGTACACACACACACACACACACACACACACTCTGCTCCCCTCACACACTGTCTCCCATACCCACCCTGCATCCTTCACACACTCAGTGCCTCCCATACACACACACACACACTACTAGAGGCTCTAACCCCTACTACAGCCCCTATCCTGGCAGACCCCAAGTAAATTGTCAAACTGTTTTTAAACCGTTTGACTATTTACTCTGGGAGGGCGCCATGGCACTCCTGGCACCATAACCACTACAGAATACTGTAGTGGTTACTGTGCCTAGATTGTTTCTTTAAATAATCTATGAGTGCCCCTCCCGAGATGAGACTCTGGATCCGCCAGTGCTCTAATGAGAGAGAGATGGGTATTTTTTATATACACCTCTATATACTTATTAACCCTTAACAGGGAACACTTGGGATGGGCGGCAGCATTGTAACATAGCTGTGTGATACAAGAAGTGAATACAAATACAAAAGAACACTCACTTCCATCACTACTGGACGGCAGTAATGGCCACAGTACACATCATTCCAAATACATACAGTAAAAACCAAAGAAAAAGTTACCTGTGCTCTCTTTTCTCTTTAGTGAAAAGAACACTGAGGATAAATGGATCATCTTCCAACAAATATTACAAAGGTACATTTCTC